TCCAGCTGCCGCCGCGCCGGGGCCGCCGCCGGATTCTCCCCCACCCCCACCCCCGCCGCCGCCGCCGCGGCCTGCTGCTGCTGCCGCCGCCGCCGCCCCCGCCGCTGGCTGTAGCTGTAACTGCGGCAGGTGCACGGTGCGTGTGAGTACCTGGCACGGCAACCCCGCATCGCACTGGTGCAGCCCCAGCGCCCACAGCAACTGCCACAACTGCCGGTCGTGCGGGGGCTGCATGTCGGATGACAGGATAAGGCCCCTGAACAGTCCAAACAGGGGGGAGGGGGGGAAAGAGGAACCACGAACGAGTGAAAAGCTGCTGCCAAGGAAAGCGTGTATAAGAAGCAGAAGTGACCAGTAGGCGGAGGGAAGGGGAGGGGGGAATCATGTGTTGAGAAGTGAGAGAAGTGAGCTGCCGGAAGGCGTCCAGGAAGAGAGACGGATGGGGAGATGAGAAAGAGGGAAATGTAAACGCAACGGGAGATGTAAAGGATAGTAAAGGCAACGGTCAACCACCTGAACCACCAGGGTGCCACCGGGCCCTCCCCCCTCAACAGCCCCCTCCCCTCTCCCCCGTTTGGGCTACTTTTATAGTTTTATCTCAACGGTTGTAAAAACCAAAACATTCCCCCTCCCCTCCCCTCCCCTCGCCTGACTCGCCTGTACATCAGGCAGTAGTGCTTTCTGAAGAAGCTGAAGGGCGCCTGGCTGCGTTGGGCGCTGTGTTCCTCTAGTACGGCATTCAGTCGGGTGTGCAGAGGGGCAGGTAGAACCAGATGGACGCAAGACGGCTAGGGAGGGGGAAGGGGAGGGGAGGGGAGGGAAAGACGAACCACACACGATTGAAGCTGCTGCCGGGGCAAGAGAGTATCAAACGTAGAACTGACCGAAAGGCGTCCGTGGCGACCGTGACCTCGAGATGACGAAGTGAAGATGATGTGGGCGGGGGGAGGGGGTTGTGAAACACAGTGGGAGCGGCAGAAGCGACGTAGTGACCGTAGGGAACAAAGCCCCACCTCAGTACAATCCCCCAAAACACACACACTCCCCCCTCCCCCCACCTCAAACGTGTTCCATGGCGCCATCCGTACGGTCCAGGAGGGGCAGTCCACCTGACTGAGGACACCCGCGAATATGCGGTCCAGGGTCGCCTGCGGTGTGTGTGGGGGTGTAGCGGGGGGTGTAGCGGGGTGTGGGTGTGTGTGTGGGGGGGGTGATGTGGGGGCCCGGGGGAGAGTTCATGGGGAATAAACAAACAAGGGGGTGGTGGTGATGATGGTGGTGATGATGGCGGTGGTGATGATGATGATGATGGTGGTGATGAAGGTGGTGGCGGTGGTGGTGATGGTGGTCTAGCACCCCACTGGCGTGGCTGGAGGCAGGGAGGAGGCAGCAGCAACAACACTGGCAGCAGCGCTGGCAACCCGGAAACAGGACTGTCGTACACCATGCCGTACCTGACAGGATGAACACGCGGCTAGGACGGCTAGCCGCCGCTCCCCCCCCCTCAAGTTCTAACCCCCCCCTCCTCCTCCTCACACCCTTCTCTCCCCCCCTTCCCCGCTCACCCTCCTGTCATCTTGCTTGTCANCACTGCCGTACTCGACAATAGCTGTTGCAGCAGCAGTAGGTATAGAGGAGCGTGCGCACGTATGTATGTATGTATGTATGTATGTATGTATGTGAGGGGGGATGCGCGCGGAGGTGGCGATAAAGGACCGTACGAATGGATGGGGGTGGGGAGGGGAGGTGAAGACCAAAACATTCCGGTTGTGTCCCCAACCCACCCACCCTCGAAATAACCCTCGCGCTGTCGGGCCCCCCCCCAAACGATTCCTGCCAGCCCCCTAGAGCATTAAGTTCGGGCACCCCAAAACTCTCCAAAGTGGTTTTCCAAGGGGTAAAACTAAGCTAAGAATTCTGCCGCAAAATGCTAGGGGGGCCACCCGTTGATTTAACCGGTGTTTGACTTCACCCGGGGGCCTGGGGCCACTGCTTCGGGCAAGGATGTTACCGAGGAGGCGCCGCTCCTTATCCGCCGCCGCCACACCTGCCACCACCTCATCACTCGCCACGCGCTCCCAACCTCCTCGCTCCCAGCTAGGTAGTGGGCCTCAGCCGTTTCACTGCCCACACTGCCCCCATCATCACCATCATCACTCTCCTCAGGCAGGCAGGACACAGGCCGCACGCTGCAAGACCGGCTTACTGGGCGCCGTACAGCCCCGAAACCGCGCAAATTGGCGGCGGGTGTTCCCCAAAACGCCGACGGGTGGCCCCCCTTTAGTGGGGGCCCCGAAGCCGCGCTTCGCGCGGCCCAAAACCCTTTGGAATCGCTCCTGGGTGCACCTCATCAATTTCACTATCTGGCAAAATGGAAAACCCTCGGACGTGTTCGGGCAGCCCGCATCGCGGCGAAGCACCCCCTGCCGCGGTGCGGGGGAGTCAAGGGGCGAGACACCCCCGGGCCCCGACACGGCACGGTGTGGGATCACGGCAGTGATGGGGGGGCCGCACACACACATACACATACACACACACACGAACGCATAACAGCAGCGCCCATGGGCACTGATATAGGGACTGGTGGCATTAACCCGAGCGGCAGCAGCAGCAGCAGCAATATCAGTAGCCGCATTCCCAACCCCCATCCATACCCTTCCTGTACCATCCCCACCCCACCCCACCCCGCCTTCCCTTCCCCCCGACGTAACCCGGGCCCCCTCCTCCCCCCGAAACCCACCTCTATCCCCCAGCCCCAGCCTCCACTCCGCACAGGGCCCAAGTAGCAGCAGCAATGTCTCCGCCAGCTGCACCACCAGGGCAGTGGCGGTGGCGGGGGGAACCACGGCGCGGAGGGCGAGGACCAACATAACTGACTGCGGGGGACGGGGGGGAGTCGCCAGGGGGCGGAGGACCGACTGACATACATACAGAACGTTAGACTGCAGCACTGCAATGCTGCAGGGGGAAGGAGGGGTTAGGAGTTGCCGAAAGTCGCCAACACCCTGGCTAGCTCGTCCCCTCTGGGGCCCCAATCCACCTCGCCGTCTCGCAACTTCCCCCCCAGACTTTCCGGCCTCCAAACTTACACACACAAAAAAAAACACAAACCATACATACATATGTACCGCCCCTCTCCCAGCCATCATGATGCCGTACTCGTGTACGACACGTACCTCCAGATGCGCTGACGCCAGCAGTAAGCGCTTCCCGCCGTGTTCCAAATGAACCAACCGAGTCTGCAGTGACGTGGGAACACACACACACATGCACACACGGAAGGGGGGGAACAAACAGGAGGCCGCGGAGGTGTGGGCCGAATAAACAGACAGACAGACAGACGGTGGTTCTTCCCTCCGGAATCTAGCCCCTCTGCATCTCTGCCCTGCTTCCTCTCCTCTCCCCTCCGCTACCAACCCTCCGCAAAATCGCTCAGCTCTGCTCCCTCAGCTACTCCGGATATAGCGCCCGGGGGCCCCACCTGACAACCGGTTGATGGGCGGCAAGGGGTGGTGGGGCCAGAGGACACACCCTCATGCCCCGGGGTCCGCAGCTGCCTAAACCTCCCTCCTCCTCCGTACCTTCTCCCCACAGATGCTGTCCAGCGCACCGCGAACGGTGACGATGAGGGAGCTAAAGGATTTGATGAAGCTGCCGGTGCTGCCAGCTGGCGCGTTGGCGGGATAGGAGTACATCAACTGCATAGGGACAATAGGTAGATTTTGTTTATGCAGCTGTAAGCTAAAATTTAAAGCTAGCCTACGTCGGAGCGATATATGTATGAGATGAAAAGTGATCAGGGAAGGCGATGAACGCAAACTCACGCTGTGGTCTTCGTCGTCATCCTGAGCCCGAAGACCCGAGTCCGTGCTCACAATGAAGGCAGCATGAAGCATCGAATGGTGGCTTGCGGCAGGCATGGTTTGAGCTCTGCCGCAGGCCACCTTGAAGCCGTAACGTCAGCTGTAACGTCAGACAGTGCGCAGCTGTTCTTATGCGTGGTTCTTGCAACCTTATACATTTAGCATGCCGACAATCAACACTTTCCATATAGTACATGACAAAGATCTGCACATATCACAATTGAGCAGGACAACACGGACCATGGTCTCGGAGCAGAATGCAAACTCCATTGTTGTCCTCATAACCCAGCTTAGCAATTGATTTGCACATACTAGTGTTCCGGCTTATCGCACGAAGGATTAAGTAAAGTCCTATTTCCGAGCAATCTGTCCTAACACCCACGAATCTGTCGCTTTTTGCAAGCGGCGTCGGAGCCCAGCCATGGCGTCTCCAAGCAAGCGGCGTGATATGGACGTGATGAAGTTGTGAGTAGGCGCACACCGCGTTGCAAGAGCAGACACAAGGGTTTGGCACTGAGTCAGGTGGCCGTCGCGCGCAGAATGATGTCGGATTGGAAGGTCGAGCTCGTAGAAGATAACATAAGCGAATTCCACGTGGACTTCTATGGGCCGAAAGATAGTAAGTTATGGCTTGTCCTACGTTGCAGAGGCATATCCGGTTGCTGGGCTTCTGGTTCGGCACGTCCACCATTTCCTTTTCGCTATATTTCGTTTGTAATGACGAATAGCTCAACAGCATTGGGCACCGAGCATCAACAGCTTAAGACTGTTACCCTGGGATGCAGGCCCCTACGAAGGAGGCGTGTGGAAGGTGCACGTGGAGCTGCCGGACGCTTACCCTTACAAGTCTCCATCCATAGGCTTCATGAATCGGTGCTATCACCCAAATATTGACGAAGCGTGAGTTGGCGTTCCGGGGAGCCGCGGGCCGGTGGCAGCGCCATCGCGCGCACGAATCCTTAGCCGCTTGACTTCCTTTTGCCTTTTGCCAACCCAGGTCCGGTTCCGTGTGCTTGGACGTCATCAACCAGACCTGGAGCCCAATGTTTGGTGAGACCTCTCTGCTGCCCTTGAAGGCCGCGTCGCGCCGCCGCTCTATCCCTCCCCCGTCCGATTTGCCTCAAACTCCCCTTTCCTCGTTCTTCACCGTCCCCTTTTAGCGCTTAGTCCAGTCATACTTCTGCCCCATCATCCACACCTTACATGACACCTTCCTGCCTAAGTTAAATCAAGCAATCCTAAAATCATATGACGAGGAAGACGACGTCACCCGCTCGCTGTTTCGCGCACCCACGCATGTCCCCGTTCCAAAAAATCCCTTCCCCCCTGTGCCGCCTCCTCCTCCCCTCCTCTTTCTCCTCCCTCATCGCAGACCTCGTCAACATCTTCGAGGTGTTCCTGCCGCAGCTGCTGTTGTATCCCAACCCAACCGACCCACTGAACAGCGAGGCGGCGGCGCTCCTGATGCGAGAGCCGCTAGCATATGCCAACAAGGTCAAAGGTGAGGGAGCGCAAGGTTGGGTCGGTGGGAGATATAAGTGGAGTTCTGTTGAGGTTCTTCGGAAAAGGGTGGGTGGAGAGGAGGACGTGGCCATTGGCGGCAGCTGCACCACCACCACCACCACTACCACCACTACCACCACCATCACCACCACCACTACCACCACCATCACCATCACCACCACCACCACCACCTACACCAGCACCTCAATCTTCCCACACCGGTCCTAACACCGCTTGGTCACGGTGGGCACACCTCTGTGCCCCTGCCTGCCACCACACCATGAGAGCCTCACCCTCGCCCGCGCCCGCTTCGCCTCCACACCTCCCCCTCCCCCTCCCCCCTACCCGCCCCTCCCTCCATGCAGATTACGTGCAGCGGTACGCCCGACCCGAACGAGTGCTAGGGCACAACCCGGCAGCGGTGAACAACAAGAGTAGCGACGACGAGGAGGCGGAGGTGGATGGCGAGGGAGACCAGAAGATGGGGGACGGGGAGGGGGCCGGAGAGGAGGAGTCGGAGGGGGGGTTCCTTTCCTCGAGCGAGGAGGAGGACAGCTGAAGAGGTCTGAGCTAGGCGGGTGGGTTGGTTGGTGTGTATGCAACGAGCCAAGAATACAAATGCCGTCGCCCATTTCAAGCACACCAAGACCAGCTCTCTGGGTGGGAGAGATTGGAGCGGCAGGCAGGATGCTTGTGTGTGTGTGTTTGTGTCTCGAGGTCCAGGTAGTGCCCGGGCAATGGGAGGTGGGAGTGGAAGGCGCTTAGGCGGAGGACGGGAGTGCTGCGGGCGGAGCCTCCGAAACCACTTTGTTCTGCTGTGGCGATGGTCGTTGTGCAATCAGGCATCCGGGTAGGCAGATAGATACTAGTATACTGCGTACTGGGGGCCCCCGTGAGTACACTGTACACGTTGACATATGTGAGTGTGCGTGTTTTAATGACATTTGTGCGTATGCACATGTATGTTTGTATGTATGTATGTGTGAGTGTGTGTGCGGAAGAGCTAGCAGAGTCCAGCCTAGGGGATCTGGAAGAGGGTTTCTGTACCGGTTGATGAACCGGGGGTTAGAAGGGTCGGGGGTCCTCGAGTTGTACAGGACCTGAGAGGTGCTCTGCTGCCTACTATGACGGACATACCGACATACATACATGCACGAGCGGGGAGAGGTAGCGTCGGAATAGAGCTGTGGGGTGTGAAGACGAGGTGAGGTGAGAGGAGAGGAGAGAAGACGGGGGGAAGGACGAGGGGGTCCAGGCGGCCGCCGCTCTGACAGGCAGATGCGAGGTGAGGTGAGGTGAGGTGAGGCGTAGGAAAGATTAGAGCGGCGGTCGGCCAGGAGGAGCGAATAGTCGATAAGGCGCAGACGAGGGGTGGAGGGAGAGGGGGGCTGGAAGAAGTGGAAGAAGGAAGACGAGGAGCTGATATGTGTGTGCCGTGTGTGTGTGTGTGTGTGTGTGAGAGCGCACTTTTGACCCCGTCCAGCCCCAATCTCCCCCCTAAAAAACCACCGTTGAGGTCTTGTGTTAATAAATAGGGGCCTTACAGGTGCCGTACCGGATATCCAACTTCATTGCTATGGGAGCCCGTCCGGTCCCCTCCCCCGCTTAGTCGCGCGGTGCACTGGTGGCTACCTGTGGGCCTCGTGTGGGCCCCCCATGGAGAGGGACTTTTGGGATGGCGGTGATGGCGGTAGGGTGTAATAGGTAGGGTATAGGGTAGCACGGTGTTTTCCGGTTGTCTTGTTTCCTTCCCTCTCCCTCTCCCTCTCCCTCTCCCTCTCCCTCTCCCTCTCCCTCTCCCTCTCCCTCTCCCTCCACATCCACTCCCCGAACCCGAACGTCTGACCTGTGTTATTACAGCGACATAATTAATGAGGCCCTAATCGACATAAGTACATACATACGTACATATACACGATGTTTTGGTCACCGCGCGGGAAAGAGGGCTCGTCGGCGTGGGTGACGGCGGTGCGCCTTCAGGTCGCCGCCTCGTGTGATGGAAGTTGCGGAGATTAGTTAGGGTTAGGATTTGATGATGTTGGGGGAGGGTTACGTCCCCGTCCTGGCAGAAGCCGCCAACTTGTTGGGGAATGTGTGCCATGAAGGAGCTGGGGGAGCTTGGGGAGTTGGTTAGGAGGGTAGGAGGAGAAGGGAACTGGCGATGAGGCGGATGTCCGGGGGGGCAGGGCGCCAAGGAGAGCAGGCTCGTCCCCCATGTGTATTTAGGAGTGGCAGCAGCAAAGGCTCTGACATGTCTATGTGTATATATGTATGTGTGTTTTTGCGGGTTGTATGTGTGTGCGGGTGTGTATGTACACACAGCGCCCCGGGGGTGTCCTGTTGGGACTGTTGGATTGCGCGGGAGCGGACGTGTGCCGGTGCCGAGGGACACATTGCGCGGCATCTGCATGCCGCTGCTGCTGCTGTTGTTGTTGTGGTCCTGCTGCTACAGCTACTATTTCTACTACCACTGCTGATGTCGCTGTTGTTTCATCCATGTATTCCCCTCTCTTTTATCTTCTGTACTTTACGGGTATCCTTATGTACTTTAGTGCGACAGTGGTAGTAGGTGTGTAAGGCCAGGGCTGTACATCGCACGCGATTCGACTTACCCCCGTTGCCTCGCGTCTGGGGTAAAATGGCTCGGAAGATACGTGGCGTGTTTCGCACGCATCCGCTTCTTTAACTTGAGCCTGACGTCATTGTCGAGAGAGGGGAGGCTTCCTATTTATTGGGGAAGAGGGAGGAGGGGTCCCCTGTGTGGTGCGATTGTGTGCTGGGCGGAATGTGGAAGAGCGCACGGCGGGGTGCGCAGGGGGGGGTCATTTTGCGACTGTGCCTGGCGATCATACGCGTTGTAGGTAGGCTAGGAGGAAAAGCCGTCAACACCTTAAAAGAAGAAGAACAAGAACACAAGACGAACTTTTAAAATCTGTTGACTTTAAAATCTGCGCCTCTGAGGATGCGAGTTTGTGGGAACAGGGCAGAAGACTGGAGTAGGGCGGCAGGCGGGTGCCCTCTGCGCCCGCTGCCTCGCAACCTGCCGCCCTATGGTACGGCAGGTCGGGTCCGTGCCGAGAGAGCCCTGCCCTGCCCTGCCCAGCCCTGCACACCATATCAGCCTCACGGCAATAGTGCACATGCCGGCAGTTGGAGATGGGGAGGTGGCTCGCGAGGGCCGTCAGAGGCCGTGGTGCGATGGTGGTGGCGGTGGGGCTCTCGGAGCGGCCAGTGGTGGGACCACATTCGACTTACCAAGCAGCAGCGACAGCCGCCTGTGCGGGACGTCGCTCGAGAATGGCGACAAGGGGGGGTGGGGGGGGCGGCTGCATCTCCCACCCGCGCGCCCGTGTGTGTGCATGTGTGCGGCCCTCCCCGTGGGTCTTCAGCCCATCAACCATTAGCTCCCGAAGCAGCCAGGCGCACACTCATCTTCATCTATGCCCCGTGTGCGCGGCACTTCCCTTGCTTCCCATCCTCGATGGCCGCCGGGCTCCTTCACTCCTTCCTCTCCCCAAAATTTCCCACATGCCGACGGGATTTTGAATGAATGCACGAAAGGACAGTCGCGACAATCTGCCGCGTTCGCGAGTTGCTATGCTGCGGAGAGAGAGAGGGAGGGGGAGGGGGAAAGAGAGCGGGCCCCTCTTGCGCCGGGGGCCTGTGATAGATAACGTATCCGAGAGGCGCGCGGAGGCGGCCCCCTGCCGTCACAATACGATGGGAGGCGCAATAAATGAAATGTTCATCTGGTAAAGTAATTTTGCCGTATGTGAACCAGCTGCCCGGGGAGAGGGGCTGTTCAGTAAACCTATCGATTTTCGCGAAAGCGTTGCTTGCAAGGGAAACCGCGGGGGGCGCAGGGCGCAATGCGGGAGGCCTCAGGAGCTGCTATGTCGGTTAAAGGCAAAGCTGCCTGGCAGGCAGACAGCTTGGGAGGGGGACCAACATCGACGATGTTGGGGGAGTGCGGCGGCGCAGCGTGTGTGCCTTGTGCGGCGGCTGGCTGTGTGTGTGTGTGTGTGTGTGTGTGTGTGTGTGCCATCAGTTCTGAGGGGGCGAGAGGGCGAGAGGGTTAGGCTAACCTCGCCCTATCACACCCTCAGAACTGACGGCGATATCAGTGGGAGCAGTGAGTGGTGAGTGGTGGGGGGTGGAATATTGGGGCCCCAGTAATGTCACAATGACTTACCAGCGACCCAGCCACCATGAATTGCTGCCCGGTCCTGCAGCCTATACGCCGCTCAACATGCCGCCTCTTAGTAAGGTTCAAACCCTCCTCAGGACTTCAGGCGATCGGCTTAGTGATACAGGAATCCTTCTGGCACCTGGCAGCGCCTGGCTGCACCTGGCTGCACCTGGCTTCTGTATTGTTGTTACATATGGCTTCTAGAATAATAAAGGTGGACGCCTCAGGCGGTTCACGTGATCCGAGGGGCGCCGAGAGTAGTGCCGATGCTGATGTCTCGGCCCGGCTATGCCTGTGGTCGCACAGAAGCTGTGTGGGCTGGTTCGAGACGGTCTCGCAGTGTACTTTTCACTAAGGCTGGTAACCGCCGCAAGCCGCAACCAACAGCCTCACGACCCAGGGGACGCAATGCCCCGAGGTATTCATACCATATTGATACATCTTTATATGCAAAGTGTTGTTGAAAGGGTAATGGCTCATTTTTTCAGGCCAAAAAATTTGCGGGATAGCCCACTCGCGGCTTGGCCGCGGAGGACCGTGTCGGTGTGTTTCTCGGTACAGGAGGGTAGAAAGCGAGCTGGACTCTTGCCAATGCCCAGTTTACCCCTTCCCTAGAATGTTTATGGATAAATCATTCGTAATGTAAAGGCTGTAACACAGAGAGGAAGAAAGTGTGTGCGTGTGTCTGTGTGTCTCACCAGTGGGAAAGGCACATAATTGACTCCTAGATAGTCAAGACGTTTACGGGACAGGCCCTGCTCCGGCTCGTCCACAGCGACCACATGCATGATAATCACGCATGAGTTCTTCATCTCGACGCTGATTCATGTCGTTTAATTGTGCATTCCGCATGGCCGCTACATTTTGAAAAGAAGGACGCATAACATCTTGAGCTAGGAGCTGCTAAGGAGTTCGCTCCCAGAGCAGGTGTTTTCCGACGGTAGAGCGAAGATATGTATGTAACAATATCTTTAGTCAGTTAATTAACTGAGCTGCAATAGTTCGTGCCCGTTAACCAGGCGTGGCGATGGGCAGGAGGCTGTCGCCCGGCCGGGTTGGGACTGTGAGTGCCCCCGTTTTTTTAATGGTTCAATGTCCACAAATAGCGATGTCGAAACATAATTCACACACATCACACATGATTCTACCTGCTCATAAAGGTTTGCCTGTATTGCTTGGCGGTGTTCGCCGCGTCAGTCGCGTCGATCGGGTGCCCCAAGGGCTGCTCCGAGCATGGAACCTGTAACGAGGAGATGGGTAGGTAAGTATTCAATCAAACCACGTGTATGTCTATTCCAATAGTGTAACTCCTATAATCTGTTTTGATCTGATTTGATCGTTAAAAAGCTGGAACGACCGTCGAGTCATGTCGCTGCTGACCGCTGCTGTTTTCTCCGCGATTACAAAATATTGCAAGCAGACGCAATCCACTATTAATCTTTTAGATTTTAAGGCGCTAGAATATTATTCTATTAGTCTCAGAATATGGAAATGAACTGTGCAAACCAATTCGATGATCCGCAGGTGTGACTGTCCGCGCCACCGTGCGGGGCTCGCTTGTGAAGAGGAGTTGGACGCCAAGGCCCTTTCAAAGCGCTGCTTGAAGCTGGGATATCCAGACGTGCAAAACTGCCTCAGCGGCGACAACCGCTGCCTCAACGGCTGCAACTCCAGGGGAGCTTGTCTGGCGGGGTTCTGCCACTGCCAGAAAGGTCAGGAGACTGAGAAGCTAAGGACTGCACCTGTTTTCCTTGCCGATACGTTGCAAAGGCAATTGGCTGCCGATGCGTTGCACAGGGGACACTCACCGTCGTGTGGGAAATGATCAGAATTACATACAGCTCTACAGCATGGACACGCCACAGGACGCCACTTAGGCCACCATTGGTTGCCAACCAAGGAAACCCTGTGAATAGACATCTGCTGTTGCTGTTGCTTTTGGGTTTTTTGTTGTTGATGGGGTGTTACACTGTAGGCGGCTCGTCCCGAGAAAGGAAGAGCACAGGCGGCCCTGACCGGACCGAAACACAGCGCAGGGACGGGCGCGCGGCTCTACGTCCGTCTGTTCCTCCGCGCGCGCCTCATTCCCTCACTCACGCCAACCGGGACGCTCTCCCAGCCCTTGGCTAGGCAATACAGCGGTTGTTGTTGTTGTTGTTGTCCCAAAGGTTCTGAACGGAAGGATTCGACAGTGCTTCACAGGGCATGAGTCCAATGACGCCACATCAACCCACATCGAGACCAAACATCTCAAAAAAGTGACTAGACAGACCATACACGATCATCTACGCACCACTGTTCAGGTCCAACGTATTTGGACTCAAACACATCGACTATTGGTGATGCACCCGCACACCCGGTGGTGTTGGTGAAGCTTGGTTTCGGTGCTGAACTGCTGATGTTGGTGGTGTGATGCGCGGCGCAGGTTTCTTTGGCGCCGACTGCGCTTTGTCTCTGGGTGCGGATGGCAAGCCACAGGTGCTTGCGGACCGGGGCTACCGAGCTCGCTCCAGGGGGCCTCGGGTCTACGTGTACGACCTGCTACCCAGCATGACAACATGGTAGGGCGGGGAGGGAGGGAGGAGGGAGGGAGGTTGTGCGGGGAGCGGGGGAGGGGGAAAGCGGGGCGCGGGTATGTCGGGCGGGGTTTGCTTGTAAAGCGGTGGACGCCGGGCAGTTGCCATCGGCCTTGTTGGACGAGTGACGCATGTTCGCTCAAAACCAATCAGCAGCAGCACCAGCAGCACCAGCAGGATCAGCAGCATCAGCAGCAGGTGCTTTTTCCCCCCCATACCCCTCCATAAACACACATTGAAGCTGCCGTATATGCCGTACAACAGGCTCAACGACATGCGTCTGGACCGGCCCACCATGCGGCTCTTCCAGGAGCGAGTCACGGCCACGGGAGTGCGTGTGGGGGATGGCGACACGGCCGACTGGTATTTCATACCCGTCACGCTGCGCCATACCGCCGACGCTTACACGCTGTCGGCGGCCGTGTCGTACATACGGGAGATGCATCCGTGGTGGAACCGCACGCACGGCCATCGGCACTTCGTCATCGCGATAGGTACGGTACGGCATCAGTACGTCAGCGCAGTAATCAGCTAAGTTGTTGCTTCTAAACCTTGAGCTTTGCGGCAATCAAACGAGCTTCCCAGAGACACTGGAGGTGATCCCGAGGGGCCACCAATGAGTCATGGCGCTTGGTAGTGTGCATGACGCGCTATACCCTGTTCAGCTCTTTTCCTGACACTCACTAATGCTGATGCTGCTGATGATCGATCGGGGAACGAGCCGGGCAATGTGCAGGGCAATGTGTGGCACCGCAGCCCCGAACGGAACTGAGAAGTAGAGGGATGAACCGGCGGCTGGGGACATCAGATCCCGTGCAGTTTACATGGCCGTGATAAGATAAATGTACGATCCAGGTACGACCCAGTATTGTACGGACCCACGAGACGCTCTCAAACGGCACCCGCACAGGTGACATGGGCCGTCTGGAGTCGGAACGCGGTCGCCAAAGCACCAACGTGACGTTCGTGACGCATTGGGGCCTGCACGCTCCGAAACTCTTCTCCGGTTGGAAGGCCTCCCACCGTAACGCCACCGACATCGTGCTGCCAGTGTATCTTGGGCCCCATAAGTTGTCCCGCATGGGCATTTTCACGTCCCGCCTTCACCCCAAGTTCGCCAC